ACGGTCGGGGGCCACGCCGCACGGCCGGGAAACGGGCCGGCGCCAAGCCGCGGGGCGGGGAAATGGCCGCGGACCACGTGTCAGGGCGGAAAAATGGCCGTACCCCGAGGCGGAGTTCGCACATCGAGGTAAATTTTTGCAGCCGGAACTGGTTGTAACCCGAAAGGTTCGTTAGTAGAGGCGTTCGTATCCCGAGGTACCACTGTATACTGAATACTGAACTGAGTGAATAGTATAAAAGAACCTTGTTGAAGTGATTTGGCCATATAGAAAGAGTGAATGGGGATGGAATTGCAATGTTGTTGGGAGTTAGGAATCATGAGAACATAGATTTAATAAAATTGTTATTATTATGGTTGGTCGTACAGTTAGCAGTTTAGACTGGATTTGGCATTTTTATCCACCTATCGTGTCCTTCCCAAGGACCTGGGATAGGCAGATGTTGTTGTTTGATGGTGCTAAAGGCATCGTCACAAGATATAAGCTGTTCCATGTAGAGTTGCCTTTTGCAATTGAGTGTTGGTGGTGGTGATGATGGTGCTGATAATGATGATGATTAAAATATGCATGAAGGAAGAATGAATGGGTTGAGAGGGAGGGGAAGACTGGAAAAGCCATAACTAGAAAGAGTCAATGAGATTTTGAAAAAGAGGTGAGGTTTAAAGAACAAAATGCAATATGTGAAAGCAGAAGCAAGGATAGTTTGTCAGGATAGAAGGACTCTTTTTCTTCATTCTGTATGATATTACTAATCCCAAAAGGAAATAGCACGATCAGTGTATAGTTATGTATGGTGAAGCAGCTGCATTGAAGCTGGAAATCAAAAGTTCTGCAGCATCTGTTGGACCACAGTGTACCATGGTAGTCATTTTTTCTGTTATACACACATAAAGAAAGCAACCTCTTTCTCTCTGGATTTATAGAGAGACGCTGCTCCTCTTTAACTGTGTGTAGTGGCTGGTGGTTCTGAACAGGGATGCTCACCTCATGTGCATCCAGTGACACACAGCCTGTGAATGGATCAGCATCCATGGGATTGCTTGTTTCCATATGTAGGATTTCCACTGGTCAGTTAAATAATTACAGGTAATGATTATCTGTAAATGCTGATTAGCAAAAGGGCAAACGTATGCCATCTGTATGAATGATAGCCATAAAACTTATTTTTTCTGTTAATTATGGCCATTTGTCATATTTTTACTTTGGGGTGTGTGTGTGGTTTTTTCCTTAAATCACAATGACCTTGCCAATTTCTGGATGTTATTACAAATTTAGAAATAGCTTACTTCCATTGCATGATTCTTTAAAACAATTGGGAAGCAAAATACGCTCAAAGGTATCTGTTCCTATTTTTATTAAGAACCATGTTGTAAAAAAATAATGTGTCAGAGGCTCTGACTTTGTTATTTCAGTCTTTCAAATATACCAAGTAAACAGTCATACCAAATGGAGAAAGATAAAAAAGAGTTACATGCTTGGATGAAAAGAAAACGAAAAGAGAGACTTGCTGAATATATGCAAACGCTGTCTGAAAAACGGGCAAAAGAACACAATCCATTCCGTTTGAGAAAAATGGTAAGGCTGTTTAAATTGTTACAGCTACATTAAAAGGAAAAATGTGTTATTTTATCAATATTAATCTTCCTTTTTAAGTTGTATTTCTAAATCTGGATGGCCACCCACTTAGAAGCATGGCATATCAATTATAGGAACAAATATGAGAAGACATATGAAGGAGAATAATAATAACAATCATTCTAGAACCTGAGATCAGAAGCCTCACCCAGTGTAAATTCCTCCAAAAAATTACCATATTTCACCAAAAAGGCCTGGCCTCCGGCTGCCATGTTTATTTCCATATAATGCTTCTGGACCTCACTCAGATATTTCAGGGGAAAAAGATGGTTGGGGATTGCAAGGCAGAATGTTGTTATGCAGTGCACCCAGCTGTCAAAAGCAAGCAAGCAAGCAAAAAGAACAAAAAGGAGGGCCTGTTTTCATCTGGTTAGGTAAGTAAAGGCAGAGATATTATAAAAAGCAATGAGGGGGTGCTTGAGATGGGGAAGCCATGGAAGGATATTAGGAAGGGCAGCCCGAGGTGCAGGACCAGCTCAGCGTGGGGTGGGGGGAGAGAGACGATGTAGCAGATATCCAGGAAAGTAGGGAGAAAGGACTCAGAGAAGGGAAATTGAAGGACATGCAACATTCTATCTGTAGAGAAAAGAGTTACACTGCACCATTTTGCAGTTGATCATCTTCCTCACAGCAGTTAATTTTGGTGGCACGTGGGATATGGATACTGCTTAAAAATCCAAAATGTGCCCATAGCCCCCCAAAAGTGGAGATTTCTGCTTGATTGTCTGATTAACCCATGGTATATTGCTACATTATCCTTTGGAGTATACGGAGAAACAGCAGCAGTACTGCAAAGTGCCTTTCCCCTTGGTACAGTACCTAACTATACCTTGAGTCTAGGCATTTCTTATAGTGGAGGTGGATAGCTCTTTCTGTTTGCTCTGAAAGTCAGCAGCAGGTAGAGAGTGACTAAACAAGATATTTCCCATGGACATCCTCCATTCTCAAAGGCCACAGTCTTCTAGCTAATTCTGAGAAGACTGGAACACCCATTTCTCCCCTTCCCTTTGACAAAGAAGAAGGGAAAAAGCTGTTGAAGAAACCATACAGGAGATTATTTTCTCCTTCCCAATCTTACGATTTGCAGCTTTAAAACCCTGGATTCTTCAAATTCATCCATCATCTGTGGAAATCCAAGTGGGAGTAATTCAGAATTTCTCTAAGTCTCAGTCTTTGACAGCATGATTCAAGGCGGTGGCTGTGCTCCAGGAAGAACAGCCTATGCCAGGGGTCTTTAGACTGCTAAAATCCTTTGTTAAGGTGTTTAAAATCTCTGTAAGACCATGATGGAAAATTCTGCTGGATGAACCAGTAACATTAAACATCTGGAAACTGTAATATCAAAGGACAAGGGAGACTTTTAATCTTGATGATCAAAAAGTGAGCTTTTCTTTAGGAATCACATATTTATTTCATAGTCCAACATAAAATACAATCAGGAAAAATTACACCAATTTCAGTAATAACACTGACACTGGTAAGAGATAAAAGATAAGTAAACGCTAGGATTGCTAACTCAGTGCTATAATATTAAAACACTAAGATCTCTCTATAAAAAAAATCTTAATATTAATACTAAGACTATGGACTAAAGGGGCAGGGTCTCCGAAAGCTACAAAAAGGATGTAAAAATAGATACATTAAAAAATATATAAAAAAAGGAATTATCTGTAAAATTACTCTTACCCAGCACCCTTAATTATCTGTTTTCAAATGTTAATTGCTTCCAAGCAGAATCTAGCGACGTATGTAATAAACAGTTCCTTATCTGTGGGGAGTAAAATGAAGAAGAAAAGTTTCATTATGACCTATAACGTGTCAGTAAAATAGAATGAAAGTTTCTCAACTATTTTGGTAATAGGGGTAGTGTAAAAAACACATGTGATGGTCTCGGTAGCATTTGTGCTAAATGGACAGGTTCTCTACACATGGAGGCTTTGGTAAATCTCCCATTAAGAATTGGTTAGGAATTACAGGAAGCATTATTTTCCCATCATGCTTGTAGCTATTGTTCCTTAAGCTTAGCATTACATCAGTAAATTTCCTGAGAACAATATTAAGCTTCCTCAGTTCTCAATTAGAAGAATTAATACTGCAGACCAGATAGCTGATGTAATATTGATATGTTTGCATTTTTTGTATAGTCCCTTGGACCGTCAACACGAGAGATTAAATTACAACAGAAAAAGAAAAAGGAGAAAGATAAGTATGTTATTTTTCAGTGGCATTCTAGACTTTTAATCCACTATATGTGACAATTGACATTAGAGTATTAAGGGTAAATTGTCAACATTTGACCATATGCCTTTCACTGGTCAGTCAAATTTTATGATAATTGAATGAAATAATTCTAAGATGAAGCATTTGAGTTCTGTGCCCCAGAGATAGGATGAAGGAAAGTATTGGGGAAATTTTCAGGAGAACTGGCAAAAAGTCATTGGAAGAGAAACTTTGTACTTGGGACATTGTAGAACAGATCTGTTGTATTCATTCTGTGGGTAGATTCACTCTGCTGTAGGCTTGAACTTCTAGGGGAATTCTACATTCCATATTGTTTGGCATTTTCATATATTTTAAGAGAACATATATCACTTATGCAAACCTGACAAAATAAAGATGAACCAAAAATTACAAGTTTTCCTCAGCCACTTTCGCTGGTGCTAAGATGTGTGACATATTCAGTCCTCTTGTCTCTGATCTTCATTACTAATATTTTCAGGTAGAATTTGTTGTATGGAAGTAGAACAGACAAAATCAAAACAATGTGTCATACAGTATTTTACAGGTTACTTCTTGTATCTAGTATGTTTTAGTTTTAAACCGAATGTTTTTCTAGGAGTCTCCTTTTTTCCCCAGTAGTGACAAGCTTAGATTGTTTTTAATTAATCTAGAAAGGATGTCTGTTAAAAAAAAATCTGCAGTTGTTTAGTAGTTAAATTGGCCCATTTGCTTTCTCTGAAGGGTCTTGCTATCTGAACATCATAATCTGAGAGTCAATGAAGCTCTCACTCTGATGCATGACTTGCTGTCTGATACAGTGCAGCTCCCTTCCAGTGAATATAAACCATTGCCTAGAAGAAGATCATCGTATGGTTTTAAGCAGCCACATGTCACTTCTGCCGGAGGGTAATGTATTTCAAAGTAATATTGCCATTAATTTCCCTATTTCATTCTCAGATCTACCAATGTGACAGCACTGTGCAAGGCTTCTCAGACAGAAGTCCCATTGAATTCAGTTGCTCTTATGCCTAGAAAAATGTTACTAAATTAGAGCATTAATTTTAACTTCTAACTTTACTGTGGTTCAGTATCATAGTAAAGGCAAAGTACTGAGGGGTGGTTGACAATCACACTTAGGTATGTTTCTTAAATCATCCCCATCACAGGAAAGAAAGTCAATCGTTCAGCAGAATTCTGATTGTCAGACAGGGATTCATCACCGAAAGTCTTGTGTTTTTTAAAAAAATAGAATGAACAACTTCTCTAGTCATTCTGAATTAGATGTTCCAAGCTTCCATCTAGTAGCACTGCTGAGAATCTCATTTCAAAGAAAGTATGAATATACTGTGGTGATAAAAAGGTACCTTAGGGAAATGTCTAATTACAGATTTCACTTTTCAGAAGCCCTGGAAGGTCATTCCTTTACATAATCATAGCTTCTCTGTCTTGCCAAGATGAAGAAGGTCTAATTTTCCTTGGGCTTCTCCTGAGGAAGAAGCTAGCCTGCCATCTCAGACCAGCCTTGCTTAACATGCAGAGCGGTTGAATTCTTGGAAGCTCCTTCAGTGCTGTTTCTCTCTTCACTCACTTCACTGCTGCTGCTGTCTCCTTCAGTGAATGGTTGAGGCACTGATTCATGCAACATTGGTAGAAAACACAGTGTGATACTGCATTGTATTGTAATATCGCATGATTAGCCTAAGCATGGACAGGTCTAAAGTTTTGGGAAGCTATCCTAGTATATATATTTGCAAAACGTTCTAGAGCAATTACTGCAATTATAAAAATGTGATATATTTCTTATTGAAGTTTCCCTGGGAGGAACAAGACATATGCCAAAGTTGTTTTGAATCCAGCAAGATCCCTTTCAAGTCTATCTTGTGACACAGCTCAGAACAAGGGTAAGAAGCAAAGAACTGCTTTATCATACCAGTTATCAAATATTCAGTTCACAAAGTGCATGGAGCATTTATAGACCATGTCCTACACATATATTGTATGTAACAATGTTTAAATAACACGCTTTATGGAAAAATGGAATGATAATTCAGTAGTGCATTGAAATTTTAGGGTGATGCAAATGTAAATATATAACAAAGAAGCTCTATGTTGCTGCCATGCTAAAGACAACAAGGATCACTAGATCACACTGAATTGTAATCTTGTGACATTATTTCAGGTTCCTAATCCATAATATGAAAGGAACAGTTTTCTTGTCTTTTCTGCTTAAGGTCGACTCTGCCGAGCTTCTTACAGAAGAACATCATCAGAATCCTGTCAAGGGGAGACATGCTGGAAAAGCAGTAGAAGCCAGAGGCAATGGACAAGTAGCAGGCTTGACCTGAGAAGCCATGGTTTGTGATTGCCTAACACTCAATGCTGTTCATTGGTGCTCATCTCCACTTTCCCTTTAGAAGCCTTCTGCTTTTAGAAAAAGAAAATCACCTCTCTCTAAGCTTTTTCAGTTTGCATTAGATCATAGTGACTGAACTTTTTTCAGATTTTAACTTTTCTTGTTCACCTACTTTGAATACTTTAGTGGTAATTTAGTGCAAATGCAATCATTAGCTGAGCTAAGGTAGCTCACAGAAGACCTTTATTTCATGAGCTGAAGAAGTCAAAACATATCTCAATAGATCATTGGCAGAACTTAAAATATAAAAGTCTTCCTCTCTTATGTTTTCCAGAGCTTAGGTTTTTTTTCCCTACATTGCTTGGAAGCCTCATTGAAGATGGCCACCACTGTTTGAGAGAGCTTTAAAAATCTGTTCTGGAAGCAGTAACTGTAGTCCAGAACTTGAAACAACTAAGGACATAAATTCTGTCCTTACAAATTTTCAAATCCCCTACACTTTTTTTTCCTTCTGAGTTGATAACCTTCTGAGGGAAAAGATACTGTATCTGAATATTATGGCCAGTATAGACTCATACGTTATAATGACTTTTTAACATAATTTAGCTTGTTGAGAACTATATGACAACAATGAGACAGAACACTGTTTTGAAGCTTATATTAGCCTTTTTTAGATGGACATGAAGGGGCTACAGGAACATATAGAATTGCCTTCTTGATGCCCCATACCTGAATGTGAAGGGTGCCAGCTTGATCACATATATATCAAGGGACAGGGGAACTTAGATTAATCATTGTTAATGTCCTTGACAGTAAGCTTTCTCCCATTCATGCTCAAGCCAGGAGTAGCCTCAGATATTCTTGCAGTTCATGACTCCATAATTGTTAGGATATTGAAGTTGGGAGGAGAAGCCTGTGAAATCTTGAGCACTATTCTATGGTCCTTTGTCTTTCTCATTGATAACGGATGCATGATAGATGCCAAGGTCAACCATGGCGAAGTAGCCTGTAGTCGAATAGAAATGGTTTGTTTTAGATACTTTAAGAGACATAAAAAGCAACATTAAAACTGATTTGATCTTAATACAAAATTCAAGTACAAACTACTGAATGTTTAAATTCACTATTTATTTGTTTGTTTGTTTGTTTATGGAAATAAAATTTAAATAAACACATTAAAATGCAACATTTTGCTCCCCTCCAGCTTCTGATCAGACAAGAGAGTCAGTGAGTCAGAAAAGGCTCCTCACTTCTAGTATGACATCTCAGGCCACTGAGGAGACTGAAGATGATACTGTGAGTGTTTGGAGTGTCCCTGATGAGATCCAGCAAATACTGTATGGCACAACTAATTCCTATTTCAAGAAGGTAAGGACAGCAGAAGTAATTAGTAGAAATCAGGCTACAGCTCTGGAATAGTTATTTCTTTGTGTCTTCATTTTATAGAAATATAAACTATGACAGGCAAATGGAGATTTATGTTCTGATTTCTGCTTAGCCTTAGGTGACCTATAGTCATGCACCAGCTACTGTTGTTGTGAGGATGAAATGGTCAGGGGAGAAAATATGGAATGCTTGAAGGAAGAATAAAGTAAAATATAAAATAAGAGTAGAAAATTAAAGTACAATTATACAGGTAGTCCTCGCTTAACTTCTATTTGTTCAGTGACCATTTGAAGTTACAACAGTGCTGAATGAAGGGACTTACAGCCAGTCCTCAAAGTTCCAGCCATTGCAACACCCCCACGGTTCATGTGAAGAAAATTCAGGCACTTGGCAACCAACTTGCACTTACAACCAATTGCAGTGTCCCATGGTCACACGATCGCCATTTGCGACCTTCCCTGCTGGCTTCCAACAAGCAAAGTCAATGGGGAAGCCAGC